TGGTTAGGCTGGTAGCTAGTTAGGCTGGTAGCTAGTTAAGGAAGCTAGGCCAGCCAATTGACCATACTTATTACTGTCCTGCAAGAGCCACAGATACTGGATTTTGGAATTTTTTTGTGTCAGAGCATTTGATTTACTGATTGCTGTCAGGATGTAAAGAAAATTTCAAAAATGCTTCTGAAATAAATTGCCTACAGCAGCTTTAATATCTGACTTAATACATTACATCCATTTTATCAGTACTTAATATCATGGTCATGTAGCCTATTTATTCTCAGGACCTGCTCTGATATTTTTGTACATTATAGTTCATAGATTTAAAATTCTTCTATTTTTATGCTAATTGTTTATGTCTACAATCTGTGTTAATTTAAAAACTTGGGCTAAAAATAGGTAATAATGGCCGAAATCTCAGACACAGACCATCAAAATAACAGTCTGTTGTGAAGTATTTTAAGAAATCCTGTAGGCTCAGGAAACCATGTGTCATGCAAATCACACAGAAGTGAATGTGTTTGTTATTGTAATAGTAAAGAGAATCCACAGTAGTCCACAATAATTTAAACAGACATAATCTGTCTTAACTTTTCCCACATGGTGTATGAACTATGTAGGAAAAGTTAAACCAGTTAAAAGTGTAAATAAATCTCTTACAACAGAACTTCTCACAATTAATTGAAACAGCTGTTTGTCAGCAATTTACAGTCAAATTAAGTGAATATACAGACTTCATGAGAAATGTGCTCTTCAACAACTCAACATTATTGTCCTTATAAACATCTTTGTAAAGTAAAATGTGTATTATTGGATGTTCAATTTCATATCAGGGTCAACGCTACAACTCACCATTATAATAATGTGATTAATTTCTGTTCTTCTTTAACAGGCCTACATTTTACTTAACATCATTCCAACTGGTGGCTAAAATAAACTTATAATTAACTATTTTGGAAAGTGTGCTTTAAAACAAACTATTATGCACCATGATGTGTATACTTCGATGAACTTTAATGAACGCAATGTTCCCAAATAAATTTTGACAAACCATCCTGCTCCTGAAGAAAGGCTTTAATCTTCAAATGTATGAATAGAAAGTACATGAAATTCTATTATCTTAAGTACTATAATTAAAGTGGCCATCTTTGATGTTGTTAAGACAAAAACAACAGTAGTTTCTTGAATTACAAAACATCTTCATGAATTGCACCAGGATCTTATTTCTTCAAATTACACATATAGAAGAGATAGGATATGAACTTTTAAAAGCCAGAATCACAAGTAATGCTTTTAACCAATTAATTATCAAGCTGTATTAATACCCTTTATGTGAAATGAATTTTAGATGTTACTTTTGTGGGTGCCTCGGTGAGCTCCACTAGGCACAACATTTAATCCAATTGAATGTCCTCGCAAAGTTTCTCTCATCCGGCCAGCTGTCTGTTTACTTTCAGCAAAACTTTCAAGGTTGTTGACTTCGGAAAAAAGAGAAAAACCCCTGTTCTGACACAGACAACGTTCCATCTCTGTTAATGAAATCACTGAGTCCTGTCCAAGTGGCTGCTGTACTTGGAGAGAGGCCATGAACATCTCTTTTCTTTCTTCCACTCTAACTGTCCTCCTTTTCTTTACTCTTACCTCTGCTCTCTGTCATCCCTCGCTCTCCTTTTCATCTCTCGAAGGTCCAACTGATTGCACTTCTTACTGAGACCATACCACAGACATGCAGATTTTTTCGAGGCAGTAGTTTGTAAGTTATTGTATTGGATTACATGTATACATTATTGTGTATGTTTTTAATTGATGTATTCTTGCATGCCCTAACACACCTCTACCTGATCCTGCATTTATTATATTATTTTGCCCTCTTTGGGGCAGCACAACAATTTATAAAGACAACATTGACATATTTTTAAATTTTACCTTGCTTTTACACATCCAGCATATAGGAGCATCAACAAAATTTATTTATTTAGATTTCTGGTCCATGTGAAGCTGGGTTTATAGCCAATGCAAGGGGTTAATTGGACTCCCGCCATACTTCTCTCCGGCCTGGGTTTTGATTTATAGTTAAAGAAATATTTCGCTGTGTCTCGTTACTGAACAGAAGACTACCACCATGAAATTGCTGTATTTGTGTTCATTTACTCATAAAGACCGCCAATAGCAGTTAGCAGAAGGCTTGCAATGCTTTGTTAGATGTTTGATACTGAAAAGAAGAAGAGTCTTTCTTTAACTGTTTAACTTTCTCTCAAGAAACTCCACCAAACTTTGGTGCTGGGCAGGTAGCATACAGTGGATTTATTAGATATTTTTCAGAACAGTTACTGCTGCAAACAACACTGATGAGAGCAGTGAGACTAAACCAAAACAGTGAAGCTGAGGGCTGGAAAACCAAAAGATGTACTTAAAGACAGCAGAAAGCTCCATAAAGCTGAGGGGAGCTGCAAAGTCAGGTGATCCATCTCACATTACACACTGTAAATTTGACTCACTGTTTTTTTCCCCACAATGGGTCAGGTTCATATTGATAACACATGTGTTATTATTATATTTTACATATAATATATTGATGAATGCGATTTAATATTTTGCTAGTTTCACCTGAACTTCATTTTATTTAACAAGTAGAAATTGCATAAACTAGCCTTGTAATGGATACTGTATAAACTAGCTGTTTGACACCCAAATTTACCAACCACCTGGAAAGATTACCACTACTTTTAACTTTTAATTTAGTAACGTAATAAATATAGTTATCTGGGTTAAGACCTTGTCACACACAACTGACGCACAAAACCCTGCACTAGAAATGTTTCAGAGAATATAATAATCCCTTAGGTACCCCAAATTTTAGATGTAAACATTTGAATCTATACAGCTAAAATGATTCATTTTGAAGCATCTATTTTAAAGCTGGTCGTCAAACCTCAATATGATTTTGGGAACTCGACTGAAATATGTCTGTAGCACTGAGCGCTTAAAACGGTCAAGTAAGAGAAGTTGGCATCAAATGTCTGTTCAGAGACAGGACAAAGCAGGATTTAAATTCAAATTTTGACAAATTTAAAGTTAATTTTGTAACTTAAGTTCTTGTGGGGCTGATTTAGATGTTTTTTGTTAAAAGACAAAAAAAAAAACATGTTTCCTCAAATATATGTATGTAATATAAAGTATGGGAAAAAAGTATCATTATGGTATCTGTACCTGAACGTGTGTAACGTAATACCAATAGTATTGTAAAATGTACCCAACAATAAGTATATTTTACAGTAAATAATTATCATTACATCCCGAACAGTTTATAGGAGTCCATGTTTTAAATATGTTTGAATATATAGATTTAATAAATATCCTTAACCTTTCTCCTCTATCTTTTCACTTTCCTCTGTCTCTCTCCCAACTTTCCTTCTACCTCCCTTACTTTCTGTCCCTCCCTCCCTCCCTCCCTCTCGGAAGTGTTCAGTAATGGCATGCCGGCATCATCGTCCTTGGGAGACAAGGCTTTCATTCCAGTAAGCCCTTTTCATTTCATTAGGCCTGAATTTATAGTGGTGGCGCACACACCGAGATACACACATGTAAGATATATTTATAGAGGGAGATGGCACCATAAAAGCGTCTGTTTCCAGGGGGAAGCCTAATGTCTGTGACACCATTCTTATTTATGCAGGCAGGAGGGCGAGGGAAGACTAGCAATGTGACACACACACAATCTGATGTTGTGTGTGTGTGGATACGGCGCGAAAGTCTTTGTACGGAATGTGTATTTGACTAAATCTGTGCATGGGTGGGATACCCAGGTGCAAGTTAGTGTGTGCGTTTGTGGGGCAGGTGCACATTTGGGTCTTCCTGCATTAAACTACTGTGTACATGAGTGTGACCTTGTGGCATTACCCCCATTAGTTTAGTGGGGTCCATTAGTGCTAACTGAATTAAGACAAAAACAGTACGACAGAGAGAGAAGCTAAATGATCTGGGTCTGTCCATACGGCTGATTCTCCCTCTTTAATCTTTTTCAGTTAGTACTACTCGGCCACTGCAACTTTAGCTTGAAGATTTGGTGTTAATAAAAACATGATAAATAAAAACACTTCTCATTTGAGAAGAGGTGATTTCTCTAACTTCAAAACAAGATTTTTCTCAATATGAATCATCCATAACTACCTATTAACGTATTATTTTAAAACATGCTAATTTCTCTTCAGGTCTGAAAAGGTCTGGATGAGCTCCCTGCTGTAGAATCTTTTTGTTTTTTGGCAGGGTGGACAGTTAGGTGTGTGAGTGAACACTGCTTTGGGGTTGATGAAATCATTTCCTATGTTTCAAACATGAATGCAAATGTGACTTTCTAGAAATTACACTATTTGGCCTCAGGAAGCGCTAAAAAAAACAAGTCATGACTGAACTGTAATCTCCCCACACTGCAGCTGCAAAACAACATCACATTTAATGCTCAACTGCAGCTATCCTTGCTCAGAAAATGTGCCTCCAACACCATCCATGTGTACACGCAACACTGGATTTTCCACCATTTTGTGTTTCCTGAAAACAGCTCCCCACTATGAGGCCTTCTTAGTTTTCTCAATATATCTAATGTGACACTTTTATGATAGTTAATATGTTTGTGTGCGGAATGGTAGTGTTTTCATACAAATTCAGTGCTGTTTTCTTAATATTTTAATCAGTTTTGAATGTAGCTAAATTTCCCTCAGGATCAATAACGTATCTATCGATGTAGCTGTCTAGTTTTATGTGTTGACTGATCATTGTGTGTAATTATTTGGAACAACATCCACTGGTAAGTTTTTTTCAAGGCTACTTGACAGGAAATGTTTCAGGAATAAAAATAACAGAATTAATGAATATGTAAGTAGAAAAATACAACATATAAACTTGTGATGCAGCGCTCTACACGGTCGAAGTAGAACAATTTGGCTGACAAGTCAAGCTTCTGTTTGATTATGTCGGTTTGTTTAGTCAACAGAAAGAGAGACACTCACCTCAATGACACGTGAATCAAAGTCCTCGTAGGTTTCTGTGGAGAGGGGAAAAGAAAGAAAGATGTTTAGATTAAAAAAAGCTTCTACACACAAACATATTTCGGCACAAGAACACACACTCACAGACCCTGTAAACAGATTAAGCCAGACTCCTGCTAGCGTAACAAATACCCAGATGTCCTTGCAGCAGTGTAAAGAGTTGACACTTTTCATTGTCAGTGACCTCTGAAGGGTGTTAGTCTCCCAACAGCAGCCTGTTCACTTCTAACCAATTAACAACAAACAAAGGAGAGCTGACTCAAAGGCTCCAAGGAGAGAGAACACACACACACAGTCTCTCTCTCTCTCGCTCAAACACGCGCACGCACGCACACACACACACACACACACACACACACACACACACACACCCCTCAGCTGGGACATTAGCTCACCATCTGTTAGAAACTAAACCTGATCAGAGACGAGCAACCTAGTTACAGCTCTCACTACATCACAGTCACCAGTCCCAGTGTGCACTGTGTGTGTGAGTGAGAGCGACAGAAAGTGTTAATACATGCAGGAGAGAGCACGAGTGTATTTCACTGTGTGAGCGCTTGTTAGCACGGCGTAATACGTAACGTAATATCAATAGGAAATTAGAAAAAAGAAACCAGAGGAGGATGCGAAAGGAACAGCGAGCAAAGAAGACACTTGATTACAAGAAGATGGAGCAAGAAGCAAGAAAATGTGCTTTGCGATTGCAAAGCCTCGTCCCTCATCTGTCGGCAATTTGAGGTAATTGGACTAAACTCAAGCAAAGATCAAAGTTTAAATCCAACAGTGTAATAGGGCTGGGAACAGCAGGCTAGCAGCTCCATCAGTGAATCAGGTTGATTTCAACCAGAGGTGTTCCTCAGGACTGTAATAAAGTGTTGAAAGTGATATTACATACATCAACCTCAACGCAAAGTTCTGATATAAATCCTCCTGGTAGAGCAGGCACAGCTGAAAAGATGGCGAGGGGAAAACTGATTGAATTCGTTGTACAGCTGGCCGTCAATTAAAAAACAAAGATCATGAGGAAAAAACAAAACCACCTATAAGGCAAGGCAGGAAAACCAACAGGTGTAACTAATAGTATTAATAATGGCATTTATGTGTGCCAGGGACCCGGTGTTGTGCACTGTGACTCGCTGCCACACCTGAATGGAACTGAGCCATCATTACTCTAATTAGTTACACTGGCTGCTTTTTATGGGGCCCCTGGGGTCATTTGCTAGAAAAAAATAAATATATATATACACACACAATGGAAATTAAGCACACAAATTGTAAGGTGCAACAATACTTGGAGAAGCTCTCTGTCAAATTGTGTTTATGGAACAGTGAGACTTTTGATAAGGACCTCTGGCCTTCAGAACAAAAGGAGTCAGGATTAGTTAGTTTTATGGTTATATGATTTGTCATTTATACCCACAGAACGATCAACATGCACTAATAATTTTTTCAAATAAATTAAGGATTTCAAATGCGTGTCCTCTTCTGTAGAGTGACGATCAGCCACTCGTAGCTGTGTCTATTCCCCGTGTTTATGTTGAATGCCAGATGCATATTCCAGAAGCAAAGTTTCCCTTAAACCACGCACTCAGTTTAGCAATCCGTTCACTAAGTTTGATAATCCGTGTACAGTTTTTTAATGAATTTGCTTGGTTTACCAATCTGTCCGCCAATATTTTTTCTACAAAATGACCCCCGGGCACTACATAGACTTCCTGCTACTCTCTCGTGTTTTTCTTACTAAATCGGTCAGACAAACTCACAGGTGCTGGCTGTTTTTTGTCTCTGCCTGCAGTTAATCTGAAAGGTTAGAGCAACGTGTTGAACTCAACTGGTAGGCAATATAGTACATGAAAATAAAAACTGCAGTGAATGCCACTGGGTCTGGATCCTGATTATGTCCATTTATGTACATAGACTTTTGCATCTGCAAACTCATTAGTCAGACCCACTTGACTTATTTAAAAAAACACAACAAGAGTCTATAGCCATGCTAGCAGCTCTGTGAGGCCGTACTCGATCTATATGCTCCCACCAGAGTGCTGATGATGCTAGCATGTTGATGTTTCGCAGTTATAATGTCCAACATGTTCCCTGAGTTGGTTTATGGTGTTAGCATGCTAACATTTGCTAATTAGCACTTAACATAAAGTACAGATAAGGCTAGGGCTGAACAGTTAATCAAAATCAAAATGCCATGTGTGAAAATGCCATATTAAATTAAATATTGTCATGTTGCAGAGATGTCCTGGCCTACGCATCATATTCTAGACTTAAGAAAACATCTTTGTTTGGTACAGATCTTTGCAAAAAAAATAAAAAATAAATCACACTATAATCATTTAAATTAAGTTTTTCAATGAAAATGAGAATAATTATGTAAAAATTATCATTCCGTCCAATATCGCAAATCCTATTGTAATTGCAATGCTAGTAAACATAACCGCAATTAGATATTTTTTTCAAAGTCGTTTAGCCCTAGATAAGGCTGATAAGAGTTTTCAGGTGTCGGACAACAAGAAATTTTATTTGATGATTGCGCTTGACTAACAGTAAGGAGTCAACATTTCCTAGCAATGCATCCAATAGTTGTTGAGATTTTTCAGTCGGGACCAAAGTAGGTGACTGACCAACCAACATTGTCATCCCTAGTGCTAAATGTGAATGAAACAGTGTGGTCATTTAGGTTTCTCACCCAAAAACAGAGTCTGTGTCTTTCAAAATTAGGAAATTGTCCCACTTTAGTCACATTCTCATCAGTCCTAATAGGCTTTTCCTCTACTGCATCATCCATCCAACATTTACATGTTTCTACACTGTGTGAGTTTTTGCATTTTTGTTTACCTCCATTTGGTCCAGGGTCAGGGGGGCCCAGGCTGATGCCCCCCCAGGAGTTTCCCGTCCATCCTCTTTCCCTCTTCACCTTCATCTTCCTCTTCCTCTCCCACTCATCTCTCAGTCGCACTGCAGAAAGACACAACCAACAAATTTAGCGCTGAAGCCCCGAGAACATACAGGCCGAGGCCACCACTTATTTCCAAGAGCACATGATACACATGAAACTTTGAAGCTATTTGTCATCGTCAAATGAACTGTGTAATTACTGTTAACAAATGAGATCACAGGGGAGACAAACTGGTAGCTTCTCATCTCACACCAGTGGTGCTGTTGCTGCTCATGTTTCTCAAAATTAAAAGGTGCCCTGTGGAGTTTTTGTCCTCACGTAACAGTACATGTATTAGTTCCGAACAGTTCAGTAGAGCACGTGCGTTTTTGACTTCCCAGAAATTGCAAGCTAGTAAACATGGATGTAAACAATGCTGGATTTAAATTTAAAAGGAATGAAATGCACTTGAGGCGTTTGTTAGACCTTAAGGATACACACAATGGGTTTTAGCAACACTGAACTTAGACAAGACAACCCCATAGGGCCTCTTCAAGACATAATTTCCCAAGCTGTTGTTTCCTAGTAGGTCTTGAAAAGACTATTTTCCCATAAAATAACTGCTCTTTGGCTTTGCTAAAGAGAACAAAAATGTTGGGGGTATTTTTTCTATTGGCCTGTCAGTCTTGCAGTGTTAAGGTGCATCAGTATGTGATAAATAATTTATGTAATTTTGTACGTCTGTGTTTGCAGAAGCTAAAGCCTGCTTGTTAGTATTCGGTGCATTCTGCCTCTGTACCTAGTTCAGCTTGCACCTCCTGCTGCTCAGTCTCGCCTCTTCGACTCATGCTCTGCAGAGTCCCATCCTTCAGCACCGGAGCGTTCAGACCAGGCCAGAGAAAACCGCCGCGACCTGTGGGTTAAAGATACAGCCAGAGAGAAAAAACAATCAGGAAATTGGAGAACACAAGAAGAGGAAGACTTAAAGGGTGCAAGAGAAGGAAAGATCGCTATATATCTCACGCTAGAAAATAAATTCCAGCACAAACATAGAATAAACCTATTTATTGCGAGTACATCATGTCTTTTGTTATTAGTACATGGAGAACTGAGAGAGGAGCGAATAACAAAAAATTTACATCTTACTTGAATACAGTACATCAACAAACAGGTAATCTACCACAGATATATTTGAGTTTAAGGTGTCTACATGTTTAAAAAAAATTGACAGTATAAAATTTGCTATGTGGAAATACCCAGAATACTCCTCATGATTATGAGGTATGAGCAGAATTATTTAAGTATAAGTATTCCTAAATATACCTAAGTACATTACAATTGAATACAAAATATTAATTTGATTAATTTTAAATGAGATAATTTAATACTTTTTCACCACCATCATGAGTAGGGATTGAGTAATAATTTAGAGACATTTAATTAAAGTGAAAGCAAAGACGAGCAGAGACAAGCTGACAAGACAGTGACATCGAGACTGAGACTGAATGCAGACTGATATTTCCTCTTAAAAGAAAAGTGAAAACAGGAAAAAGAGAACAGGCAGAATGAATTAAGACTAACTGCTCTCCTAGCAGAGCAGTGTAATAAATTCATCAACATTGTTTGTTGAATATTTGAGTGTGTCGTGTCCATCAGCAAAGCAGCACACAACTTCACAGAAAAGGAGGAGAAATTTTAGCAGATAAATGTTATCAAGCAGAGACCAAAAGTAGGGCGATATGTCCAAAGATGTTACTGCGATAAAAACATTTCATACTGTTTGATATTGATAATTCACAATAAATGTCAAATCCTTATTTATTTCAAGTTTAAAGGCAGTTTTTTTTTTGCTCCTGAGTGAAAATTAAATAAAAAAACATATGGTTAACAGAGTGGTTAAACTACTCTTTATGGTCCAAACGTGACAAATACTTATGCCAAAGAGTGGATCACTTCACAAATCTGAGGTAGAACATCATGATAAAATCTTTTTTATATATTTAGTACATCTTTTTTCAGTCCCTTTTCCTCAACAAAATAAACATCTTAATAGAAAAATTAATTGCTAATTTGTTCGTGATTCAAATAAATTAAATTAAACATTTATTAACAATACATAGCAAAATTTGTTATATTGTTATTGAGGAAAATTATATTGCAATCATTATCATTATTGTTTTATTGCCCTGCTCTTACCAAAAGAAAGACAGACAGATGGTGTCTCACCTTCTCCAATGCTCTGTCCTCGGTTCAGGTCCCTCTTCAGTTTGCGTTTGGTTCTCTTCCCTCGACCCTTCCTGGCTCCGGCGCCTGACTCCGCCAACACACCTCTCCACAACTCCTCAGCCGTCACTGTAAACACACACGTTTATGAGCAAACAAACATAAACAGCTCTAAAGATCAGTCAATATATTTTCTCCATTTTATCAGTGTAAAAACAGAAAACAAAGAGCAACGATTGTGAGACAAATGGCTACCAACAACTTTGCTGAACACGTGTTTACAAAGACCTGGCACCTAAAGTGGAGATACAGTATCGCAGGTCCAGTTTAGCACCTGTAGTACATCAACAGATAAGGCCCATTTGAAAACAATGAAAATAAATTAATAAACCAAAACTCTGCTGAGAGTAAATATTTTAAAACTCTTCATGGAGAAATATGAGCCCAGATACAGATTCAGTGGAACACGATAGGTTGTTGGTGTTTCACAATGTTTATGTGTGCGTATTCCTGTGATCACAAGGCGGACATGTTTAGAAAACACATTTACATGTCTGAGTAACTGTAAATAGCAGCTCCATATATGCCCATTTAAAAAGGCTGTCATCAAACTGACATGTTGTCCAAATAAGCTCTGCTAACATGTACCTGCATCTGCTAAAGGGAAAATCAGCGGGGTGTATTTCTATTTTTAGTAGCCTAGGTTATTTCTTATTTCACTATTTTAATTACACTTCATTATCCTTCTTTTTTTAGTGTTTAATCACTAGCCGAGGCTACTTGAATCTGCTGCCTTTACCTTCAGTTCTCTTTTCTCCACACGCACACACCTACACCTCTGCTGTAAACAGCAGCGTGCCCCACTCTTCCTGTCTCTCTCTCCCTGTATGTGTCTGCCCTGATGAATTTCTCCCTCAGCAGTATGTTTTTTACAGTCGCTGAAAAGACATAGAACTTGTCTTTTGGATTTTCTACTGTGATTCATTATTAAAGCAGCAGGTACGCCGCATGTGGAGGAGCCTTTTTAACGACGTACAAACAAAACCAATGTGGTCCTGAATGACATCTGCACTGGTGTGTTTACTCGCTTTACATGTTCTGTGCTTGTAAAATATCCACGTCTTGTAACTTAATAGGTAACTAACTACTCTCTCTTCATGTTAAAACAGGAAAGGGACTAGAAGTTGCCATGCTATTGTTTAAATTACTACTGCATGCTGTATCATTTCCCTTCGGTGAAACTAAGGGGTCACTGAAACTCACAACACAACAACTTCAAAAAAGTTTACCAAGGGTCTCCACCTTGGTCTAATTGGTTTACAAGAATTATAATATTATTGTATTGGATCAACTAGAAAAGCATAGTGAAGCTACAGCAACTTGAAGCAATAAATTATACAGTTAAAATGGCGAAAGGATAATGGGAAGCTTTTCAAATACTTACACTTATTGAAGAAGCTGCCATGTCTAGTTTGCTGCCACACTGTTGCAGGTAACAGTGGAGGTGCGGGGGTCCTTTGGAGAGAAGCAGCTGAGGCTCCACTTGCAAAGTGGGATACCTGAACTGCTCCCCATGTTGCACGGAGTGGTGCAGCACCTGAAAGAGAGAGAGTCATCCACCAAAGGAAAGACAGATGTATCAGAACTAGATTATGTGCATAATGCCGAGCAGGTTTAACATACAAAGACGCACATGAATTAATACACACACAGAAAACACTTCACACCAAGACAACAGCTTACATCAGGCTTATAAATTATAATTTAAAGGATTAGACCGTCAAATCAAGCACAACGCTTTTATTGGCTTCTCCTTTAGAAAGAGCATCAGCCACTTCCCCAGTTTTCTACCATAGACTGCATAATAAAAGTTTTCTACCCAGAGAAGACATAGATAGAGATAGTGAGGAAAGTAAAACCTAATAAAAGCTGAGATTTCACTGAAATAAAGTGATGTTCTGGTGAAACAAATGTGTTTCCGAATTAAAGCATGTAAGTTACTCAACCATTGCACAACTATTTTCTCAAAAGCGTCTAAATCTACTTATAAGCAGGGCGAGATTAAAATCCAAACAATTTTGAATAAAGTTTGTTGGGGGGACTGTTTACCATTATTACTATTAGACAGCGAGGAACACGCAACCTGTAAAACACACGTAATGTCAGCGGCTTTATTCAATTTTCTTGTACAAGTGTGTAAAACCGAAGAAGTATTTCTGACTGCACTGAAATTACTGCTGCTTAGACCTGCCTGCTGACAGCCCTGATCACGACAGGCCTGCCCTGTGTCAGTAAACACAACTCACCGTAACCAAACAGTCACACTTCTAAACATAAATACTCTAAATATACTCCGACATATAACTTTTTCAACCAGGCAGCGAAAGATAAGAAGAATAATTCACCTCCGAATGTGATGCGGAGGGCACAGCACACCCTTACGGACGCCGCCATGTTTGAATTATGAAGGGTCCTTCAGAGGACAACAAGGCGTCTGAGCTATGCCTGTTTAAAAATATGAAAATGCAGAGGGTTTGTATTTACTTTTTCTCTTTTATGTACCGGGTATTATTATTATTATTATTATTATTATTATTATTATTATTATCAGTAGTAGTAGTAGTAGTATCTCCAACCATCTCCAACCTGTGTCCATGGAGGGGCCAATATCTGGGTCTGCAGCCGTCTGTACTTCCTGGGAAGGATAGGGTCCTTCAACCTCTGCAAAAAACTGTTGCAGATGTTTTACCAGTCTGTGGTGGCCAGCGCCCTCTTTTATGCTGTAGTGGTGAGGAGAGCTGGCTCAGTGGTGGGCTCTCTGGTGGCGGTGGCAGAAAGAAGGACCCTGGACAAACCCACCACCCTCTGCGCAACACCTTCATCGACCAGAGGAGTGTGTTCAGCTGTCCCAGCCCAGCTCCACCAACAGATTTAAAAACTCTTTTGTCCCCCTGGCCATCAGACTCTACAACAGCTCCTAGTCAAGGCAGGGAGGACAACGGACAAAATAACAATTTCTACCTCCATCTGTACTCTTTACTTCCATTTGCACTGTTTACTGTTTTGCACTGTTATAAGTTAATTTTATTAAAATGTTAAATTTTATTTTAATATAGATTTAATGTATGTATGTTTCGTATGCTACTGGATACTTGAATTTCCCTCAGGATAAATAAAGTATCTATCTATCTATCTATCTATCTATCTATCTATCTATCTATCTATCTATCTATCTATCTATCTATCTAATAGTAGTGTTTTGTGCAGTTTGTCCAGCTTATACTCCCTAGTATGGCTTTTTTACACTTGTTAAAGCACTTTGTAACTTGTTTTTGAAAAGTGCTCTACAAATAAGGATTATTATTATTATTATTATTATTTGTCTCATAATCATACAAACACACTGAAAGGCTAGAAGAATAAAATCTTTATAATAATAATAATATAATACATTTTATTTCTACAGCAATTATAGCACAGAAAATATATTTTACTATTTGTTACTATTTTAAAAAATGGTTTACTTTGTAACAAATAAAATTCAGTGAATTAATCTGTGATGTAAACTTTACTGTGGACCTTTTGGATCCATTATGAATATAATAGAAGGGACTAAGGGAAAATATTATAATAGATTAGTAAAAATCACAAATATCCTCCTTCTCAGTCCTGACCTTGGTCCTCTGCTCATTTTCTCATCCTCCTCCATCTTCATTAATTTTCTCCTACTCGTTATCATTTCCTTTCACACGCACACACACATCTTTTCACCTCTGTATCTCTGTGGCGTTTACTGTTTCTGTTTCTTCACTTTACGTTGATTATATTGGTTAGATCTGATTATGTTAATTCATCAAAATTGAACCGTCTTTGGTGCTTTTTAAATGGTGAGTTTTCTTTCTTTTGATGTTTACTATCACATCAGGAGGAGATGAAACAAGATAATTATAACATGGAGAAGCCGAGGAGAAGATGCAGGAGAAAGGTGAAGTAGTTGAGAGAAAAGACAGAGGGGAGACACGAGGAATGTATGAGAGGGATCAGTGAAGGGAGAGGCTGGAGGAAATAAATCATGTTTAAAGATGGTAATAAAATAAGGGAAGAAGTGAATGTTAATCATTCACACAGCATGAATTGCATTGGAGATGGGTAGGAATCTGCTGAGAAAAATTATAGTCATACAGTCTGATTTTATGAATATTTAACCACGGATAAAAATGTGTAGAAGTCAGCACTGCATGTCTTCTTTGTATATGTGATTGTGTATTCATGTATTTAAATAGCCTGCATGTATATACATTTTTGCATAATCTGTGTACCCCTTCATTTATTGGCTAATAATTCAATAGTCCTAAATGAAGGAATTTGATTAAGAGTTTTTGTTCTGTGTATTATGAATATTTTTAAAATCCTATGTTATGTGTATATTCAAGATGGAATAAACCCACTAGGGGGCCTGCGGCCATAACAAGCTGTAGGCCCCTGCTGACCTCCTGTTTCCCAAATCTCTGTGTATTGAATAGGTATTATTTTGCCATAATATGCCATTTTTATGATCTTGCATGTATGTGGTGGACATGATTGCTGCGCAGCCGAGTGATTGGTGATTATCCACTGTATGTGTCTCAATTTCACCTTATTCAAGATAATTTCCTCAATATTACAGCCCATTTCCCCAAAATACAGAGGAGAGCCGCAATCAAAGACCTGCTGAAGAATGAACAGCCGCCCAGCTGTGTGACAGCAGGAGGTGGGAGTTGCTGTTGAAAGAATCCGCGCCTTTCCTACAGTAACTTTTCTCCAAAATAATTGCCCCATAATGACAGCTTCATCCAGGGCTTTACGTAAAAGAGTGAGTCACTTTTCTCAGCTTTGTGCCGTAGTGAGTGGAGGAGTGAAGAGTGGAAGAATATTTTTTTGAGGTAAACACAGTGCTGCTGGAGTTCCGTGCTACTCAAGTCAAAGTGAGAGAAGTTTGTCTTGAAAATACAGAAGTGCAGCTCACGAAGAAAATATTGGTGATGCAGTTTGGTTTCTGCACCATGTGAGTGGGCCGTTCCAAGCCAGAATAGTCTGCTGTTAGTCTGCTGCATGGCATATTAGATTGGATTACAAAGAAATGTGAAGTTGGATGAGTTATATGGGCGTCCAGGATCTGGGGTGTAAAAGACAGTTAATTTTGTACATAGACAATGTTTGGTGACTGGCAGTTGGATAACTTCCAAGGCTTTGACAGACACGAGTCACAAGTGCAGAAGATAAGCAACTACATTAAAACAATATCTGTTTCTTTCATAAAATGTGTGTAAATAAGATGGACTCTAAAGCCATTCATGTAGTCCTGTAACATGCCGATGATTAGCAGGTATAATGTTTACCTTGTTCTCCATCTTAGTTTAGCATGTTCAAAATTAGCAAACGTCCAAATTTAAATCTCATTCAGATGAAAAGTAGAGAAAATTCCTAATGTGCTACTAGCAGCCTACCAGACACACATATTTTGTAAGGCCCAGGATGACTGATGTTACATCTTGTTATACTCCCACTCTCATACTCTAGTTATTATACTTGAATGTGAACTCCACATTTTCCATCAAATACTGTAGTAAGTAAGAGCTCATATCACCTCTACCTGCTGAATCATAATCTCTCTCCTCTATTCACTCCACTGCACTCCTATCTGGAACTTAAACATCCCCGCCACCTCTCTCCTCAGCTGTTATTGCTTTTCTCTATATATCTTTTCTCACAAGATTATTCTATCTTCTCCATATTAGATATGATCTATTGTCAACGCCGACCCTTTACTGTCTTTGTAGCTACTGTTGATATTTGTACTGCTGGACTCCCCTGGAGGCTGCTCTGTAAAACAGCACATGTCGTGTTAATATTTGTGCTTTCAGGTAATGCAGCCTAAATCTTAATAATTACTCCTTCTTTTTTCCTTCTTCATTCCCCCAGTCCTGGGCCCAATATAAATGCCCTCCTTTAACCCTAAGCCTTGAACCCCCAAAGACGTATCTGGCATCACCTGGTAAGTGACTGAGTGCAAGAGGCTGCAAGGGCTCAAAATGCTATAAATAGGAATGGGACAGCACTTGGCCACATTATCACGTTACACTGACGGCTCTGAAACATGATGCACACCATTGTGGGTTTGGGAGTTTTTATTTTATGTTTTTACTTTCTTTGCTGCCAAGGCAGTTAAGGGACCAACTGCCTGATTTATACGTCCTGCGTGCTGTTGCCCTACAGAGTGGACAAGATGTAATTGTCAATAATTATCTATATGTCAATCCTCATCAGGCCATCATAGGATAAACTACACATAGTTCTGGCTATATGAACCATTAGTGAGCTTTGTGTTTATCTTTACATGTAAACCTTTTTTTTTCTTACCATGTTAAAGTCAGGGTTGGTTGCTCCTTCCATACTTGTTTGTTTATTGTTCTGTCTTCTGTTATAGGGCAATTTTGCGAGTATTTTTCTCTGGCATCCGGGCATCCCCCTGGTAATGCACGTGTTGGCAATTCCCTCAGGCAAAGTCGGTGGAAATGTGGACTTACAGAAAGTGTGCATAAAGGGCTAAAAAGTCTGCGAGAGAGCCCTCGTGCACTTGCTGATTTGACGGCCCTCACCGACTTATGTTTTATTTATTTGACATGGACAGTGCACAGTATATGTATTGTAACAGACATAGCTGAAAGCTAATTCTCATCTGCAGTCCCTGGACAGGTGCCAGTAGTGTGCAGGATATTCCAATAAAAGATTAATAACAAATCCAAACCTTACATTTAATAAATAAGATACCAAATTATATCAAATCTAACCACATATAACTGACTAAAAACAGACTCCAAACCTCAATAATAACAATAATAAATTCCCTTTTAAAACACAACATCAACAATCCCAGTGCAAATACAACACAATCCATCAATACAATAAATGAATCAGGCACGCAGTACCAATACTTACCAGGATGCGCCTCAAAGTCTGTGAGTCTGTGAATGTGGAGATTGGGATTCAGCCAGAGATTGAAGGACAGAGACACAGATAGAAAAATCCTCCAATCATCTGTCTTCTCCAGGTGGCTTTAGAGATTAAAGGTTCACATCTATCTCACTTCCTGCCAAAGACTCTCTCCTCTCTCTTGCTGTCTCTAGGGAATGGGCCAGAGAGTTGGCCAATGTGTGTGAGGTGAGTAGTGATTTAACGTCTATTTGTATGAGTTTGTGTGTGGGAGAAAAAGAAAGTGCCTAAGTAAGCTTTATTTATAATCCACCGTTAAAACCACAGCATGAAGTAAGAAACAGCACAGCAACTGACCAGAGTGAAAACCACAAAATCTCTTTTACAGCTAAATAAAACTTTACTGAACAAATGGCACAGCAACACATTATAAATATGACAATCTATTTCAATAGTATTTGAAAGCTTTTTAAAATGAAGCTGAAACTGTTTTTGTCAAATTGCTGTTTTTTGAGACCACAGTTGGACTGACT